CTAGATCTGCGTACGGACCTCTCCAAAAAATATGCAAATTCCTTCGGCGAGAAACGATTTCGCGAACCAGGGCTAAAACTTTGCAAAGATATTCTCTGTGCATGTGCGCGCTGAAGTTTTCAAATTCAGCTCTTGAGCACGCATGTGCAGCGCGTACAATCACGTCAAAGTTTGCAAGTTGATACTGTGTTAACTCGAAAACTTGCTGGAAAACAGTAGTTGAGATTTTGTCACCATATTTGTCACCCGTATGGAAATTAGTATGCCTAAAAAAAATACAGATTTGCACTTGCGTCGCGACTTAGGGCATTTCAAAAGTCTTTGTAGTGAAATGGATATTTCGCTTGCCGGATAAGATGCGAGGCTGAAAATTGGTTTGTATATTCTACTCTTAATTCACCTTGGAGGCGAAATTCTCTGCAGGCGGGTATGAGAAATACTCGACTTTACCGAAAAACCAGAGACAAGTGCGTTTTGCAGCGAACGACCGCCCTCATCCAAATATGTAAGTGAATATTCAGTTCATTTGCGTACTTGGGTTTCTTGATGAACGACAGCTCGAGCAACATTTTCACTTTTTAGTGAACTGGAAATTCATATTTCTTAAAAAATTTGCATTTTTCATTTTTTCAAAAAGCGAGCATATACCGGAAAAATGAACGGGTTTCACAAAAAAAACCATAGGCTTGAACGTACCAGGCGAGCCGGTGCGATCATGCGTTTTTGCACCAAACTTGTTTCTTCACACCTACCTTGGGCGCTCAACACCGTAAATCGTCGTAAATTTTGCATAAAAGGAAATAAACAATTTCCGTTTAGCGGTCGTTTTCATTTGAAAATGACTCAGCTGTTCAATGAAATTTTCCCGCCAAAAATTTAAGTGCCCGAACAAGAAACACGCGTGGATGGAGGCTGGATTTGAAACCTTTAACCTATATTGGGACAGGGAATATTGTCCTAATATCTCAGCTTTCTGGCTTTTCTGGTTCCCGAGTAGCTATTTTCCCGCCAGTAAAGCTTCTCGGGTCGTACGTGAGAATCGCGCATGCCTGGGGGCTGAATTTGATAAATTTAAGTCGTGCATGAGCTGGGAATATTCCCTGAAAATTTCAGCCCCCCAACTTTGCTAGTTCTCGAGTTATCCATTTTCCCGCCAAAAAATTTCACGGGGCTGTGCGCGGGAACCACGCACACGTGGAGGCTGAGTTTGAAATCTTTGAGTTATATGTGGACGGGGAAGATAGCCTCAAAATTTCAGCTTTCTACCTTTTCTCGTTCTCAAGTTGTCAATTTTCCCGCCAAAACTTTCACCCCCTCGTACACCGGGCTCAGACTTGCATGAGGATTGGTGCTGCGGTTCTGGGGTAGCACTTGGCCGGGAGATCTACTAGCAAAATCTTGGCGCTGGAACTTGCTTGGTTGTCTAGTTGAAATACCCGGACAGATGAACACACACACACACACACGCACACACGCACACACACACACACACATACACACACAGGGTCGTCGCAATATGCGTTTTTGCAATTTGCATATA